CCCATTGGCAGGGGGCTGTCGCAGTCCATATCCCCATCACAGTCTCAGCCGTCGCGGCCGCAAGGCCCTGCCATCACGGATGCCGATTTCGGTTTCGCGTTCACTGACAACGCGGCGGCTGGCGGTGACGGGGCCCCGGTGCCAGACCCGTCCTTGGCTGCTATTCGCGCTCTCGACGCCGTGCCGAATGCCGCCGCTTTCCGAACCGCCCTGCGTCCGACGGGCTTATTCAACGGCTTGCAGGACGAGCGGGGGGCCCGAGAGACAGCCAAGCAGTGGCTGGGCGAGATGCTGGCGGACCCTAGGGACCACAAGGAGGTGGGAATGGATCCCAGCTTTTCAATTCGGCTCCTGCTCCCGCGCCCCTTCCGCACAGCAGTCGTCGCGGTGGCGTCGCGCGAGGGTTGGCAGCCCGAAGCGCTCATGCAAGGTATCATGAGCAACGCGGGCTGGTCGGAGCACCACGCCACGGTGCTCAAGGAAACTGCGGATGAGACGCACTCCCGCAAGCCGACGATTGCGATCTTCGGCGCGGCTATGCCATCCACTCGCAAGACCTCCCTCGCCCGCTTCGTCTCGGTTAGCCTGCTGGGCGACACTGACGAGGGGCGGCAGCTACAGGCTTGCACCTGCGGTGGCGCCACGCTGAGAGGATTGTTGAATTGTATTTCGACGCATGAGCGCAGCGGGCTGGTCAACGACGAAATCACGACGGCTTACGACACCACCTTCAGCCAGGGGTCGCGCGGCTATGCCATCCACTCGCAAGACCTCCCTCGCCCGCTTCGTCTCGGTCAGCCTGCTGGACGACACTGCCGAGGGGCGGCAGCTACAGGCTTGCACCTGCGGTGACGCCACGCTGAGAGGATTGTTGAATTGTATTTCGACGCATGAGCGCAGCGGGCTGGTCAACGACGAAATCACGACGGCTTGCGACACCACCTTCAGCCAGGGGTCGCGCGGGTGTCACTACGCGGGAAAGCCGACGATGCTCAAGTTCGTCAACGGCGAGCGCAGCATCACTATGACTGGGCATGGGGCCGTTAACTTGGGCACCTACGGGTTCTTGCACCAGGTGTGGGGGCAGATTCCAGCGGTCGAGGAGGTGCTCCAGCGTGATTCCATTGGCTTCCGCGAGAGGTTCAATACCATTTGGTTTGGCGAGGCGGCTGGCCACCCGACGCAGAACACCGAGCAGTCCACGATTTTGTTGACAGCGTTCATGTCTTGGATGTGTCAGAATGCCCTGCCCCAGCAGGAAGTGCACTGCTTCGATAATTTCTCGCTGTCCATGTATCGGGCTTTCATGAGCGGCATCTCCAATTTCATAGACGAGAATCCAGGCCTCGACCAGCTCGTGCGGGAGAAATTGCAATTCGCCGACACAGACATCCTGCGGTTGACCAACGTCGAGTTCCGGATGTGCCAGTTCTTAGAGCACACGTCGCCGCTGCGCCTGGTCGAGGAGGGGCCCCCCCCGCGCGACAAGTGGAGCTTGCACGAGCTGTGCCATGCCATCCACGCTTGGCGTCGCCAGGTGAGTCTGTACATCGCGCACGCAAAGTGGGGCGCCGTGCACGGGCCCAGGCCCGCTCCCGCGGGGGCCGGGGCGCCGCGGCCCCGCGCGGCCCAGCTGCCCATTGACAGGCTGGCGGGCAACTTGATTCTTGCGGATCCGCGGTGCCGTGGCGTCGTGACTTCTGGCGATGCCCGCACGTGGGTGCGCGCTCGGCTCATGGCTCGTGGCGAGAGGGATGTGGCTGGCCGGGCGCACGGGGCCATCCAAGCAGCAGCAGCGGCCGGGGTGGTCGAGATCATCGCGGATGCCCCTGCCGCCGAGGACGGCGCAGACGCCGCCCCGCGGGCTAGGCGGGGCCGGCGCGTCCTCAGGTTCAGGAAGAACCCTTGGGCGACCGTTCTGGCGAACGAAGTCGCTTCCGCCTTCGTGGTGAGCTTGCAGCTCAATGCCGATTCCTTCGAAGATTGAGCTGGTCTCGCTTTTGCGCGGCGAGAGTTGCTCGTCGAGAGCGGCGCGGCGAGAGCTGCGCGGTGAGAGCTGCGCGATTGGGTGGCGATCTGGGCGGCGCGAGCTGTCCCCGCCCGCGGCGAAACGACGTTCTAGTGGCGATATGCGCGGCGGGAGCTGCGGTTGTGGCGCGGCGGGAGCTGAGGTTCTTGGGTGTCGAAAGCTGCCCGCGGCACTTTCGCAGTGGAGCAGTGGGAGTGGACTCACTGGTGGCTGCGCAGCCCCGCGCGCGGCCGGGGGCGCAGAAACGCGGCATCATCATCGTCATCATCACCATCATTGCCATCGCCATCGCCATCACCATCATCATGATTATCATCTCGGTCATCATCGTGGTCATTGCCTCTGTCATCATCATCATCATCATCGTCGTCCTCCTCCTCCCCCTCCTCATCATCATCCCCCTCCTCCTTCCCCGCCGCGGCGGCGGCCGTGCCCAGTGAACCGCATAGACTTCGGTGGAGTTCCCTATGGGGGCACGAAACATTTTTGGCCATGGCCGCCATGCGGCAGGACGATGATGACGATGGTGATGACGGCTATGGTGATGATGTTGTTGATGGTTTCGATGATTGTGGCGATGCTGACGACGATGGTGATGAGGAGGAGCAGGACGACGATGACGCGGTGGATGCGATTTCAAAACGAGGATCCAACACCAAAGGAGGGGCCGGAACGCAGAAAAGGAGGAGGAGGAGGAGGAGGAGGAGGAGGAGCAGGATGACGACGAGGAGGAACGTAGGAGGGAGGGATCGATTCGAGTCGGGAAGCGGGCTCTTCGGGAAAGGGGAGGAGGGTTGAGTCTACGGGAAGCGAAATCTGGCGGGGCATTCTGTGCGAGAGTTGGGCTCGGCGGTGAGAGGATGTTTTCGGTTTCGGTGGGGATCCCTGGGTCCGAGGAAATCCTCTTGAGCCCTGGTCTTCGGCCGTTTTCAGAGCCTCTTGGGCGGTCCCGAAGCCGTCCAGTGAAGTCATGGGGCTATATCGGGCCGTCTTGGGTCCATGCTGGGCCATATTGGTGGCTTGGGACGCTGGCTTAGACCGTCTCGGAGGTCATCCCGGGCATCTTCGACGCCGATGGCCTGGGGCATATGCTCGGATTCTGTGGCCGTCGGCCGTCAGATCTGCATGCGGAGTGAAAAAGGAGGAAGGGGGGGATACGTGAGGGAGGGAGGGCGAGGGGGTCGGATTCGAGTCTGGAAGCGGGCATTTGGGGAACAGAGAGGAGGGCCGAATGTATGGGAAGCGAAATCTGGCGGGGCGTTTTCTGCAAGAGGGAGCTTGATGGGCAGCCCCGAGTCGATCCAGGGAAGTCATGGGGCCGGTCTTGGTGGGGCCAGCGCCTGGCAGCAGGTGCTTCCCGGAGGGGCACTCGGGGAGAACTTCCCCAGCTCCCCACCCCATTTCCCCACGTTCCTTTCCCTCCTCCCTCCCAATCCCTTCCTCCATCGTTTTTCTCCCTCTATCGGCTCCCTCCCTCCATCGGATCCCTCCCTCCATCGGTTCCTCCCTCCATCGGTTCCTCTTCCCTCCCCCTCCCTTCCTCCATCGGTTCCCTCCCTCCATCGGTTCCTCCTTCAGTCCTCCTCCGTCTCCTCCTTCTCCTCCTCGGTTCTAGCCGTATCAGGTGCCCTAGCTGCGGCGCAAGCTGCTGCGGGTCGTAGCTGCGGCGCAAGCTGCTGCTGGTGCCCTAGCTGTGGCGGAAGCCGCGGACAGTATCTGAATCCGCGGCGAAAGCTGCAGATCGAAAGCTGGGCCGCCCGCGGCGCTTGCTGCGGGCGGCCTCCCTGTGGCTCGAGGCGACAGCTGCGGGTGGCAGCTGCGGGCACTCACGCAGCGTCCTGCTGCCAGCGACGCGCGGGCCGTCACGCTAAACCGATAACCCGATAAACCGATAAACCGATATGCGGCACAAGGATCGCCTCCACAGGTTCCCCCCCAGCGGTCTCAGACCAGCCAATCAACCGATAAACCGATCAACCGATAAACCGATAAACCGATAAACCGACGAAGAGAGGAGGGCGCGCCAGCAATCGCCTCTATGTTCGCATACGAAGATTATCGGTTGATCGGTTTATCGGCAGATCGACCGATAAACCGATATGATTATATCGGTTTATCGGTTGATCGGTTTGCAAACCGTTCAACCGATTAGTTTTTATCGGTTTATCGGTTTATCGGTCGGATGGATTTCCGGAAGCCGTTGCCGCTGCACTCCACATATTGAAAACTACCCGCCCTCAATCCGTGAAGCGTTTGTTTTTAAACTATATAGAAAAATGTGCGCGTCGGTAAGGCGAGAGCCACATTTTGAAAACGACCCGCCCTCCATCCGTGAAACCTGTTTTGTAATTTGTTAAACGAATATGCGCGGCGTTAAGAGGAGAGCCACATATTGAAAACCCCCCGCCTTCAATCCGTGAAACTTGTGTAATTTTAAAAACGAATGTGCGCGACGCTCAGGCGACACATTTTGAAAACGGTCCGCCCTCCATATGTTAATATGTTGCCAACTTATAAATTTCAGAGTCATAAGCGGTGAGGAAGTCTTAGGAGAAACACCCCGCCCGCCCAAAAAACTGGCTTCGGGGTGCAACACGGAGAATTTGTTCATACGGAAGGAATCGAGGAGGAGGACGAAGAGGAGGGAGGAAGCAGGAGGTGGCGGAGGAGCAGGCTGAGTCGGAGGCGAAGGAGGAGGAGGAGGAAGAGGAGGAAGAGGAGGAGGAGGAGGGGAAAGCAGGAAGCGGAGGGGTAGGATGCAAGAGGGGGAGGCAGAGCGACGAGGACAACGAGGGCCCCGAGGCAAGACGAGCGCGCGGCCGCTTCGCCGACGCCCACGCCGCCGCCTCGAACGGCGCCCGCCGGCGCGGGGCGGCACGGCGGCCTGTCGACGAAGCCCGGCGCGGCGGCGGCGGCGGCGGACCGCACTGCGCCGTGCTCGCCAGGCTCGCTGGGCTCGCGTGGCGCCGCCGCCGCCGCCGCGCGGGCCGCGGCCGGCATGGCGGTGCGCTCGCCGCGCTCGCTCGGCGCCGCCTCCGCCGTTCGGGCCGCTGCCGGCACTGCGCCGTGCTCGCCGCGCCTGCTCAGCGCGGCGTTGTCGCCGCCACCGCCGTACGGGCCAACGCAGAGCGTGGTGCTGCGGATCCGCGTGGAGGGGCTCGGGCGCGCGGGGCGCCTCGGCCTGCGCCTGGGCGAGCACCTCGTCTCGGCCGCTCAAAGGTGGGGCCCTGAGGGATTTTAGGCCTCCAAAATGGAGTCCGAGTATGGTCAGGAACTTTGACTTGGCGTGTCGCGCCGCTGTTTCTGGCCCACCACGCTTCGGCGCGACACGCTATCCACGTCCGTGCTCCCAAGCGTCAGCGTCCCGAGCTTTCCCGAGCCTCCCGCGGAGCGGAGCGACGCGCTATCCACTCGCAAGGCATAGCGTGTCGCCGATGCTGCCGCTGCGACACGCTAAGCATAAGTTCCTAACCGTACGCCTCCCTGATGGGGTCCGAGCAGACGGGGTCGGAGGATCGCGTCGCATCGACGATGCCCCGGCGATGCGGCGCGATGTGGAGCCCGAGTTTCTTCACGCCGACGTCGCCGATGCATCGCCGACGTCGCCGATGCATCGGCGATGCGGCGCGATCCTCCTCCGACCCCATCTAGCCGGACCCGACTAGGGACGACGCCAAATATCGCGACTGCCAGTTTTTGCACGCGTCTTCGCCCTCTGGGGGCACTCGCCAGTTCCCGGGACCGTCAAGACGATTCAGTATGAAAAGCCAGCCTTGGGGAAGTGTCGAGACCCTCTGAACCCTCTGAGGGACCCAGACATGTTCGCGTCGTGAAAATCGCGACGGGGGGGTTGTGGCCGCGGACGAAGGTCAGCGCGGACATCTTGGACCTGCGTTGGACCCCCCTCGCGCCAGGGGCGGCGCCAGAGGCGCCGCCAGGAGTCCCCAGCGCCAATCCGAGAAATCCTCGCAGACCTCCGAGTCTTTCTGTTGAGATCACTGTTCGCTCCCATTCTTAGGGCACAGTCCTTCGAGGCTCCATCTTTGAGCCGCCGATCGTCGTGACGGGCGTGGACACGGCCGAGGCGAGGGCGCTCGGGTGGCGGGTGGGCGACGTGATCCTGGAGGCGGGCGGTACTCCTCCTCCTCCTCCTCCTCCTCCTCCTCCTCCTCCTCCCTCCCTCCCTCCTCCCTCCCTCCCTCCCTCCTCCCTCCCTCCCTCCTTCCCTCCCTCCCTCCCTTCCCTCCTCCCTCCTTTCCCTGCCCCTTCCCCCTCTCCTCCCCCTCCTCCTCCCCTCCTCCTGCTCTTCCTCCACGTCCTCTCTCCCCTCCTCCTCCTCCTCCTCCTCCTCCTCCTCCTCCCCTCCTCCCTCCTCCTCCTCCCTCCTCCTCATCCTCCTTCTCATACTCCTCCTCCTCCTCTCATCCTCATCCTCCTCCTCATCCCTCCTCCTCCTCCTCCTTCTCCTCATCGTCCTCCTCCCCTCCTCATCCTCCACTTCCTTCTCCTCCTCCTCCTCCTCCTCCTCTTCCTCCTCCTCTTCCTCTCCTCCCCACCATTGTATTGACGTTGTCCAGTCTTCATGTACGGGGCACGCAGCGTTCTCCTCATCCTCGTCCTCCTTCTCCTCCCCTTCCACCTCCTCCTCCTCCTCCATTTCCTCCTCCTTCTCCTCCTCATCCTCCTCCTCGTTTTCCTCTCTCATCTCTCCTCCTCCTTCTCCGCCTCCTCCTCCTCCTTCTCCTCCTCCTCCTCCTCTCTCCCTCTTCTTCCTCCTCCTCTTCCTCCTCCTCCTCCTCCTCCTTCCCTCTCCTCCTCCTCATCCTCTTCCTCTTCCTTCTCCTCCTCCTCCTCCCCCTTCTCCTCCTCCTCCTCCTTCTCATCCTTCTCCTCCTCCTGCTCCTCCTTCCTCATCCTCCATCCTCCTCCTCCACCTCCTCCTCTTCCTCCTCGTCGTTTTCTTGTATCATCTCTCCTCCTTCCTTTCTGGACCCCCTCTCCTCCTCACAGTAAACCTCTTGCTCTTCCTCCTCCTCCTCTTCCTCCACCGCCTCTTCCTCCTCCTCCTCTTCCTCCTCCTTCTCCTCCTTCTCCTCCTCCTCCTCATCCTCCTCCTCCTCCTCCTCCCCCCCTGCCTTGGAGGCAAACGGCCGGAAGGTGCGAAACAAAGATGAGCTCCGCGGGGAGCTCACGGAAGCGTTGCCGTCGGTATTGTTCTTGGTGGCACGCTTGGCCGGTGGCGTTCATGCAGGATCTCGGCTTGTTCATCATATTCACCATAGCCTCATCACCCCCATCGTCACCGCCATCATTGCATCTCCCTCGGTGGCATCGTCATCATCATCATCATCATCATCATCATCAGCAGCAGCAGCAGCAGCAGCAGCAGCAGCAGCACCATCAGCATCATCATAAGAGCAGCATCATCCGCATCATCATCACATCATCATCAGCAGCAGCAACATCAGCATCATCAGCATCGTCGCCAGCATCAGCATCAGCATCAGCATCCTCAGCAGCAGCATCATCATCTCATCATCATCGGCAGCATCGTCACCATCATAATCAGAAGCATCATCATCAGTAGCATCATCACCACCACCCGCACCATCATCGATCACATCGCCTTATTCAGTGTCATCATCATAACCAGCCACATAATCACCGTCACCATCGTCGACAACACCGTCATCCGCAATGTCATCCATTGTCAGCAGCAGCATTATCATCATCGTCGTCAGCATCACCATCACCATCATCATCATCATCATCATCATCATCATCATCATCATCATCATCATCATCATAAACATCAGCATCAGCATCAGCATCATCATCATCTCATCAGCATCATCATCAGCAGCAGCATCACCATCAGCATCAGAAGCATCATCATCAGTAGCATCATCACCACCACCCGCATCATCATCAATCACATCGCCACCCTCACTGTCATCGTCATAACCAGCCACATAATCACTGTCACCATCATCAATCACATCGCCATCCGCAATGTCATCGTCATTGTCAGCAGCATCATCATCAGTATCAGCCTTATCATCATCATCATCATCATCATCATCATCATCATCATCATCATCATCATCATCATCCTCACCATCATCATCATCATCATCATCATCATCATCATCATCATCATCATCATTATCACCATCAGCAGCAAGATCATCAGCAGCGTCAGCACCATTGAATCATCATCAGTAGCACCACCATCATTAGCATCATTATCATCAGCAACATAATCATCAGCAGCATCACCACTATCGTCATCAGCTCCAGCATCATCATCACCGTCGTCATCATCAACATCATGGCCATCATCATCATCAACAATAACATCAGCATCATCAGCATCATCACTGTTACCACTACCATCATCTTCATCCCGATCGCCCCCGTCAGCCACAGCATCATCACCATCATCGCGGCCCGTCCTAGTCATCGTTCCTCCTCCTGCTCATATCCTCATTGCCCCTATCTGAAGCCGTATCACTGTCATCATCGTCATGATCCCCATCAGCCGCAGCATCACCACCATCATGGCTTCCCATCCTGGCCCTCGCTCCTCCTCATCCCCCTCCACCTCATCCTCATCGTTGTCCTCATGTGCAGCTGCAGCATCGCCGTCAGTATCGTCACCATCAGCATCAGCACCATGATCCCCCTCTGGACCCTCCTCCTCCTCCTCATCCCGCCGTCGGCGGGATGCCCCTCGCGAGGGGCCGCGGCTTTCGCTCTCTCGGCCTTCTGCTTGGGCGCGCCTCCTCGCCCGAGGAGATTGGCACCTCGAATGCCCTACGGAAGGTTTGCGTCGTGTCGACCAGCGGCGACCCCAGCGCGGGCGTTCAAGGTTGAACGCCGCCGGCGACCCAGAATCGATCGATGTTGAACGATCGGACGTTGCGGCAGCGGCCGATCGTTCAAGGTTGAACGATCCCTGCGGTGTCAAAAACCAACGCTGGGGTCGGCACGACACGAACCTGCCGTACCCTTCCCTGTCGTCTCCCTCCCTCCTTTCTTGCCGCTGTCGGTTCCCTATCCTCGTATCGCCGTGTCCTTCCCTCACCCGCCCCTCCCCCGCTGGCCACTGGAACTCCTGGCGGGCGATCCTGGCCACCGGTCGTGGGCAAGATCGCCTCCAGCTTCGCCCGAACATCGGGCCAGATGCCGCAGCATGATGACAGCAATGATTTACCTACCCCGCATTTCCCTCCTCCCTCCCTCCCTCCCTCCCTCCCTCCTCCCTCCTCCCTCCCACCTCCCTCCCTCCCTGCCTCCCTCCCTGCCTCCCTCCTCCCTTCTACCCTACCCTACCCTACCCTTCCCTCTCCCCTCCTCCCAGACATCGTCAAACATGACGACTGCGTCGTAATGAAAGAAGATTCAGTTAAACAAACAGACAAACAACAAAAAACGACGGGAGGATTTTCGTTATCTTCTGCCTCTGCAGGCCCTCACCAGGCCTCGGGACCGTCAAGAAACGACTCAGGATGAAAAACTGGTCCCAGGTAATATGTCGAGGTTTCTGGGGATCGACGTTATGGCAAAATCATGACGTCGGGGGTGTGGGTTCCCTCCTCCCTCCTCTCAGACATTGTCAGAAATCATGACCGAGTCCTGGGCCCCATCTTTCTGTGCCATTTCCCAGGCCGGACCGATCGGTGAGGGCCGCGGGGCCCGAAACCGGACGAAAATGATTGGCGTTAAGAAAATGCATTGCCCAGATCTGAAGGTCGTCCCCGACCCCGAAGGCTCTTGAGTCAGAGCTCGGCCCTCCGGCGGCCCTTCGGGCGCTGATCCAGGACGCTCTCGGCCTTAAGTCGGGCCTGCCCCTCTGCAGGAGGAATACCCGAAAATAGTCAAAAAATGGTCTGGGGACGATGTTTCAACTATGTTTTTAACAATTTGGAGCATTTTTGGACTATTTTTTTTGTTCGTCCACAATCCGCCTGTAGGGGGACATGCCCGACGTAATCCTGGCCCTCGAGCCTCGAGCCCTCAGACTCTGGGCGACCCGTGCTGGCCCCCGCCGCCCCTCCCTCCCAGACCTCCCTCCGGGGCTAGGAAAAAATAGCACCAGGACCTCGACGTCCAAAACCCGGTCGAGGTCTTCAGCAATCCGGAGAGGTCTGCAGGTCTGGAGGGTTCTTTTCGAGCGTCCTGGAGGGTCAAGTCCAAATCCTTGGGACCGCACCTTTCTCAAATCTCCCATCCCTCTCCTCTCTCACCTTCCTGTCCTCTCTCACCCTTGGGGTCTCACCTCCCTATCCTCTTTCACCATGGGCCTCGAAACAATGAGCCCTGAACGCTATGCAAACAGGAGTCCCGCACATGGACAATATATTCGAACCCTTGCACATTCGAGGGAGATTCTAAATCACCCCCGCGCCCCCGACATCAATGTTGATCTCAGTAAAGGCGGTGCTTTGGGGTTCGAGTATTTCTGTCCGCTCACGCCCCCCCCGTCGCCACGCCATCAGTATTAATTTCAGGGGGCCTGGGCGGCATCTTGGGCCACAGGGTTCGAATATCACGTCCATGTACTGTCCAGCAGGACATCCCTGCGCGCCGGCCTCGCGGGGCGCTGGCCCGGCGCGGAGGCAGGCGGGCGGGCGGGCGGGCGGGGGGCCGTGCGCCGTGGGGCGGCGGCGGCGGGGGGGCGAGGCGCGGGGCCGCAGAGAGCGGGGGCGGCCGGCAGTCACCGAGCGCGCTCCGCCACCCGCAGAGTGCCTGCTCGCAAGCGTCCGAGAAAACAAAACAAAACAAAACAAAAAAAAGCACGGCTACATCTCGGGGGCGGCGGCGAGGGGGCAATGACTAGGGAGGGCGGATGTTATGGCGGGGGCCATGATATAGCCCCAGATGTCGCGGCGCCTCTTCTTATTCCATGACGTCTTTGGCCCCCCCCCTTGGGCCACGCACATGCCGCCGGCCATGATTTGCGCCCCCCCTCTTGGACGCCCCCCTGTTGGCCGCCTCCGATACTCGCAAACGTCCGAGAAAAAACACACGGCTACATCGATGCAGTGTGTTGTGAGTTCCCCGTTGGCGGATCCGGGCCATTTGCGAGGAGTTGCTTTTGGCGAAGAGTGGAGCGCGCTCGTCTGGACAGGGGGGGGGCCCTGAGATCTTGGTGCTGCAGTTTTTTCGCAAAGGACATGTTCGCCCAGTTTCGACGCGCGCGCTCGCAGAGCGGCCAGCTAGTCTGCCGCGACCGACGCGGCCGCGGAGGCGCTGACCGCTGGGGGTTTCCCAGCGCGTCTGGCAGGCCGCGCTGACGCTCGGGCACGTCAGTGCGAGTCGGCGATCTTGGCTGGCGCGGTATCATGCCGACGTCGACAACGACAGACGATGATGATGACGATGATGATCCAAGCGATGTGGGCGACGAGAATGACGATGACGATGACGACGGCAAGGTCAATGACGGCGCCGATGCTGATCATGCGGATGACGATGATGATGTCCACGTGTCGGTGATGAAGGTGTTGAAAAGATTTCGACGTGCACGCGCGGCCGACGGGCGCGAGTGGTTCGCGTGGTGCTATTTGACAGGGGTCGTACCCCCCCCCACCACCCCCACCACACAAAAAAAGAAACGCGCGCAAGGGACGTCGGCATGCGCGCGACAGGCCCATTTAAAAGCTAATATCAGCTAGCTCTGACTCCAAACTGATAGGAGGACAGGAAGAAGACGAGAGGAGGATGGGAGGAGGACGGATGGAGGACGGGAGGAGAACGGGAGGAGCAAAATCAAGCATGCGCAAGCAAGCAAGCGCAAGCGAGCAATAACAAGCAAGCAACAGCCAACGATCGATTGCAAGCAAGCAAGAGCAAGCAAGAGCAAGCGAGCGAGAGCAAGCACGCAAGAGCAAGCAAGCAAGCGCCAGTGGGAAAAGGTGAGGAGGCATAGGCATAGGCATAGGGGGAGGCATACGCAAAGGCATAGGCATAGCCATAGGAATAAGGGGGACATAATAATTAGGGGAAAGGGCCAATTAGTAGGGTTTGACTTAGAACAGCTACAGGGCAAGCCTACGTGGAGAAAAATATGTGCCTTAAGAACATTATATAGAGCACGCGCCGACTTGTTTGGAAACCCACGCTGCAAAACATTAGGTTGTTGTTTCATACGTGGTCGTGAAAGTAGGTCCTAGAGCACATGCGAAGCTGATGCGTTTTGGGGTTCGGGCATGCGCGCGCGACGACGCGCGCGCGTCGTCACACCTGTGGCAGGGATATTTTTGGAACACGGATCTTTTGCGACAAACGAGTGCGCGCGCATACTGCCTGTTGCACAGGATGGCGTTCGGGGTCGAATTTGGTCCGGTTCGGGATGTACATTCAAAATGAACGATGGGGCAAAATCATGTGTAAACTGCATATTTCCAGTGGTGGTCGATGATCCTGGCCCCAGGAGGGCGCTAGATCCGAGTTCATGTGTAGAAAGCAGAACCAGTCACAGTTCGCAGTGAGTTGTCAGCTCCACTGCTCGCGCAATTACCACACATACCCACCCGCGACTTGGTTTGCTAAATGCATGCGGCGGCGATTCCGATGACTGCTCAGTCCTGGCCGGCGCATCGCTGCGGCCGTGCTAGCGCGCGCAGGCTCGCGCGCAGAGCGACGAGCCATTCTGGCGCGACCGACGCGGCCGCGGTGGCGCTGACCGCCAGGGGCTTCCCAGCGCGTTTCGCAGGCCGCGCTGACGCGCGGGCGCGCCAGTGCGAATCGGCGACGCGGGCGAGCGCGGCCACGTGCCGACGTCGACCAGGGCAGACGATGATGACAATGCAGTGGGGGCGCGCATCAAGGAACCATATGCTATCCGTCAGGGTACCTTGGGTTTCTTCGATCCGCTCGCTGCGCGGCGACTTCCCGCGGCCATTGAAGGAGCTGCCGCGTTCGGGGTGCTCCGGCTTCCCCCTCCAGCGCATCTCGCGCGCGGGTTTTCAGGGTTGGGTTTCTTGCGGGGGACTCTTGCGGTCGCGCTCGCACCGCAGCGGCGTCGGCGACGACGATTACGATGACGACGGAAACGCCTGGGACGGCGCCGACGCCGATCGCGCCGAGGACGCGGCGAGATCAGCACCGGCGCCGCCATTGGCCGCATTGGACAGGGGCCACGCCCCCCATCCCTGGCACGCCACGCGCGCAAAGGCCTTCGAATGATCTCGACGCGCGCGCAGGGAAGGCCAGCTTGGCGGCATTTGATGAACCCGTAGAAGCACGAATGGTTTCCGCAAGAATTCACAAGAGTGCGCGGGCCGAGGTCGTGGAAAACCACGTTGGGAAACCCGCGTTTGTTCATGCGCCTGGGAACCTCGATCTTGAAATCCTCGCGGAAGTTCTGGCGCTTGAAGAATTCCGGCGCGCGCAACGCCGCGCCCGCGTGGATTGCGTTTCACGCATTGCAAATGGCTCTTGGAAAATGATGCTTCGCGATCGAGTGCGCGCGCGTAATATTATTCGACAAGGGCGAGGGGAGGCGTCGACAGGGGGCCTGGCTGGGGCGAGATGCAAATATATGTGGAATGGACAATGGGGCAGAATCAGATGCAAATCGCACCATCACAGAGGGGGGGATTCATCCGGGGCGGGGGGGGGTGGGCGGGGGGGATCCTAGTTCTTGCGTAGGAGGTTTTTGCACACGCTCACGCGTGATTCATAAGCTCCACTGCGCGCGCAATCCCACGCACCCACCCGCGGCTTGGTTTGCAAAGTGCATGCGGCGGCGACTCCGATGATTGCTTTGCCCTGGCCGGCGCATCGCCGCGGCCACGCTAGCGCGCGCGGGCTCGCGCGCGGGGCGGCCAGCTAGCCTGGCGCCACCGACGCGGCCGCGACGGCGCTGACGGCTGCAAATTTCCCAGCGCGTCTCGCAGGCAGCGCCGACGCGCGGGCACTTCGGCTCGAGTCGGCGACGCGGGCGGGCGCGGTATCATGGCGACGTCGACAGCGGCAGACGCGAGGATGGCAGTAGCGATGTTGGCGACGATGACGACGGCAAGGCCAATGACCATGAAATTTGGCACATCTATGCGGTCAACAGATGCGGTGCAATCTACGCGGCGCAATCCACCGATGCTCAACAGGAAGTTGCCCACTCCACTGCTCGCGCAGACGCCCCGCCCACCCACGCGCAACTCGGTTTGCAAACCCCATGCGGCGGCGATTGCGATAAGTGCTCGGCGATGGCCCGCGCGTCTCCGCGGCCGCGACAGCCCGCGCATACCCGCGCGCGCAGCTGCCAGCTACTCTGGCGCGCCCGACGCGGCCGCGGCGCTGTCCGCTGGGCACATCCCAGCAGGTGCTTCACTGCGAGTCGGCGACTTGGGCGGGCGCGGCACATGGCGACGTCGACAACGGTAGACACGATGATGATAGTGGAGATGCTAGTGGCAATGTTGACAGCGAGTTAGGCGCGGCCAGCGAGGGCGCCGATGCTGATCACGCCGACGACGAGACCGGCGTCCTCGCGTCGGCGATGAACGTTTTGGAAAGAGTTCGACATGCGCGCGCGGCCGACGCGCGAGGGTGGCCCGCACGGCATGGTTTGACACGGATCGCGCCCACCCACCCACCTGGCACGCGCGCAAGGGCGCGCGAATTATGTAGGCATGCGGCGCGAGAGGCCCTTTGGCAGAATTACATGAACAGGTTGGAAAACCTATGATTGTCTCAAGAATTCGCAAGAGCGAGAGCGCGCTTTGTTGAAATCTGACGTTGCGAAGCCATGCGTGTTTGTATGTTTTTGGACACTTGGTTTTGACTTTCTGGTTTTTGGCTGATTTCGGCATGCGCGCGCGACGACGCGCGCGCGAATTGCGTCTCTTCTGTTGCAAAAGGTTCTCGCGACAGCACGCGCGCAAGGGCGTTCGAACGATATCGGCATGCGCGCACGAAGCCACTTCGGTAGCATTGTATGGACATGTTGAAACACAGATGGCTTCTCTTTAAATTCGCACGAGCGCGCGCACACAAAGTTTGTTTTGAAAGCCGTGTTGCGAAACCTTGTGTTTTACATGCTTTGGGGCACTCGATTTTGAAATCCTGACGAAACAGAAGATGTTTGACGGAGTTCGGCGTGCGCGCGCGGCGACGCGCGCGTGCGCACGTCCTCTAATTGGTTGCAAGGTTTTTGATAAACGAGCGCGCGCGTATAATATTATTGTTTCGGAGGATGGCGGGTGGGGGCGATTCCAGCTTGGCTGGGATGGTACGATTTCACATTTAGGATGGACGATGGGGCAGAATTACATGTGAATCGCAATACGGAAAGGCGAACCAATAATCCCGGGGGGGAGTAGAGTCGATTCAATCATCCCACCAACCCACCCGCAACTCGGTTTGCAAAACCCACCCGGCGGCGATTGCCATGATTGCTAGGCGTTGGCTGGCGCATCGCTGCGGTCGCGCTAGCGCGCGCAGGCTCGCGCGCAGGGCGACCAGCTAATCTGGCCGCGAGCAGCGCGGACGCGGTGGCGCTGACCGCTAGGGACATCCCAGCGCGCCGCGCAGGCTGGCAACGCTGACGTGCGGACACGATGATTATCGTAGCGATGATGGTGGCGACTGTAACGATAAAGACGACAAGGCAAATGACGGTGCCGATGCTGGTCACGCCGACGATGATGATGTCCACGCGTCGGCGATGAACGGTGTGCAAAGATTTCGCATGGTATTGTTTGACAAAAGATCGCGCCCCCCAAGCAAGCGCGCAAGGGCGGCCGCATGAATTCGACACGCGCAGGTGGGAGACCCGCATGGTCCAAGTAGACGAAAGTCGTGAAACATATGTTTTTTCTCGTTTAAAAGAGCGCGCGCAGCGATTCGTTTGAAACATCACGTTGCGCAACCAAGGGTTTAGGTAGTTTGATTTGATTCCGGGAACCTCGATATCGAAATCACGAGGAAGCCAAAAGTGTTTTAAGGATTTGGGCATGCGCGCTCAACGCCGCGGGCGTGAGGACACTGTCCCATGTGAAGCAAGGCATTCTTGAAAATACGTGATTTTGTAATGCGCGGATGCGCGCGCCTAGTATGATTTCAGACATGGGGAAGGTCGACAACGGCATTCCCTAAGATGATTTGGAATCAGTTGTTAAATGAACGATGGGGCCGAATGATTTGTAAATCATGTCATCCCCTGGGGGAAGCGAGAAAGAAACCCGGGAGGAGATTGCGATTTCTTGTTAGACCGGAAATCTACATCATCATACAATTGATTCCGCCGAATTTGAAGTTGTCAACCCCACTGCTCGCGGAATCATCCCACCCACCCACCCGCAAGGTGGCCTGCAAAACCCACGCGGCGGCGATTGTGATGGTTGCTTGGCGCTGGCTGGCGCATCGCGGCGGCCGCGCCAGCGCGCGCAGGCTCGCGCGCAGGGCGGCCAGCTAGTCTTGCGCGAGCGACGCGGACGCGGTGGCGCTGACCGCCGGGGACTCCCAGCCTGTGTCGCAGGCCGCGTTGACGCGCGGGCAGTTCAGTGCGAGTCGGTGATCCGGGCGGGCGCGGTATCATGCCGACGTCAGCAACGGCAGACACGTTTGTGATAATAGCGATGTTGGGGACGATGATTCCGATGACGACGGCAAGGCCAATGACGGCGCCGATGCTGGCCACGCCGACGACGATGATGATGTCCATGTGTCGGCGATGAACGTTTTGGAAGGATTTCGACATGCAAACGAGCGCGGCCGACGGGCGCGAGTGGCCCGCATGGTGTTATTTGACAAGGATCGTGTCTCTTCCCCCCCAGAACGTGCGCAAGGACGTTCGAATGATTTCGAGCTGCGGCGCGAGAGACCCGCGATAACAGTGTTCAAAATCATTGTTTTCCCCTGACTTCACCAGACCGCGAGGAGACTTCGTGGGACACCCATGTTGCAAGACCGTTGATTGTTGCATTTGCTTTCGGGGCACTAGAGTTTGGAATCCTCACGGAACCCACGGTTGTTGTAAGATTCCGGCCTGCGCGGGCGACGACGCGCGCGCGTGAAAGTTGTCAAGTTGTTTACAAAAGATGCGCGAAAATTGTTGATTTGTGATAAACGAGTGCGCGCGCATAGTGTTATTTGTCAGGGGTGAGAGGGGGATTACCGGATTGGTTGGGATGATATGAATTCGCAGTTCGAGTAGACGATGGGGCAAAATCATGCGCAAATTGCTCATCCCCAGGGGGAACGGATCAGTCTGGCTTCGGGAGACCGGTGGATCCCAGTTCTCTTTGCAACCCATGTGGCAGTGACGAGGCGGCGACGCCCAGCACGGAGCCGCCAGACCGACATTCAGGCCCAGACGGCTGGCGGCGACGGAGCGGCGACAGCGAGCACGGAGCCGCCAGACCGACATCCAGGGCCAATTCCGCAGAAGAGAAGACAGAACCCGCAGGTGCAAGCATCGCTTGGGGAATGATTTGTCGGAGGTCCGCGCGGATTTCTTGGATCGGCGTTGGACCCCCCTCCCTGAAGCGCGCCAGGGGCGGCGCCAGAAGCGCCGCCGGGGGGCTCCAGCGCCGATACGAGAAATTCGCGCTGTCCTCCGAAGGTTCATTTTGCGTTCCCCGAGCTCGACGGTTCGAGGCTCGAGGTTTTCGGGCGTGTTCATGGATCATCGGCGGTCTTCCTCCCCTGGGATGCTTCCTGGCAGCTCTGCCTCGCCGCGAGCTCTCTGGGGCGGCCAGGAGGGGACTGACGACGGAGGTCATCGCGTTGAGCAAAGTCGAGGCAGCGGTCTTCGAGAGTGTTCGTCGGTTTGTGGAGGTTTTCTTGCCTCGGGATGCCCACCAGCAGCTGCTCCTCGTCGAGAGCTTTCCGGGCGTGCTCGGATCGCGCCGAACGGCCGCCAGGGGCTCGAGCTCTGGTCCGCAGGCCGCGAGGCGCAGAGGGGGGGTGATGACGAGGGGGTGGGGGAGGAGGAGGAGGAGGAGGAGGAGGAGGAGGAGGAGGAGGAGGACTGACGCCACGAGCGGGAGTGCGCTCGGCGGCCTGGCTAAGAAAGGAGGAGGAGGAGGAGGAGGAGGAGGACATGATGTCTTCCCAGACAGCATGGCCCCCCCTTCCTTCTTTCAAGACGTCCCCCGTTTGCCCCCTTGCGCCGCGAGCGTGCCCCGGGGGCCATGCTTTGCGCCCCCCCCTCTCTCAAACGCCCCCGACAGGAGGCAGGCCGGCTGCGAGGCCAGAGACTCGAAGAAGACCAACAATGCAAGAAACAAAAAAATAGAAGTGTTCAGAGGCCAGCGCGGATTTCTTGGATCTGCGCCGGGCCCCACCTGGAGGCGCCTCCGGCGCCGCCTCTGGCGCGCTCCGCGCTCCGTGGAGTGGGATCTGGCGCCGAGCCGAGAAGTCCGCGCGGACCTTCAGAGGTCTGTGTTTGCACAAGTGTTGTTCCTCTTCTAGAGACGAGGCGGGCCCAAGAGGCGCAGTTGGCGGGCAGCTGGGCGCCCGCGGGGCCAGAGCCTCCGCGGCGAGCGGGGGAGGATGCCCGCTGCTCCGTGCTGGCGGCGCAGCCACGGAGGTCCGATCGGAGGTGCGGCACGGTGGCCCTGGCGAGATCGAAGGCGAGGTTTTGTTGAGGAGTCCCACGCGCATAGATGCCGACGAGAGCCGTGTCTTGCACAAGGGAGCTGCAGGTCGGGGCGGCATCGGTGAAGGTGCTGTCTGCGTCGGCGCGAGAGTCTCAGTGAGGAGTGGGCATGGGCGCCCGCTGTCCTGCACCGTCGTCGAGATCGAGGGGGACAGGGCGAAAGTGCATTACGATGGCTCGGGTGGGCTCGAAGGTGAATGGTTACTGAAGAGTTCCCTGCGCATCAATCAGGAAGAGGCCGAGATCCCACACGTGGAAGGTGCAACCAGGGACGGCGTGCATGAGCAAGTTGCCCGCGTCGGTACACAAGCATCCGTGACGCGTTTGGAAGAGCAGTGGCTGCCATGCACCGTCGTCGGAGGTGAGAATGACAGGGTGATTGCACATTGCGGTGGGTCCAGCGGGTTCGAACACGAATTGGTGAGGAAGAGTTCCACGCGCAGCAATCCCAAAGAGGCCGATATTCCACTCGCGGAAGTCTCAAGGCGGGACGACGTTGGTGATCGATTTTTTGATTTTGTCGGTGCGGAAATCTCAGTGACGAGTGGGCAAGGGTACCAACTGCCCTGCACCGTCGTCGAAGTCGAGGAGGACAGAGTGAAAGTGCATTACGATGGCTTTGGCGAGTTTCGGGACGAGTGGTTGCCGAAGAGTTCCACACGCATCAACACGAACAAAGACGACACATCACTAACGGATGGTGGTTTTGGGGACGGTATTGACGTGCAGGTCCATTTCGCCTTCATCGGCGCAAAGCTTTCAGTGATGAGCGGGAAGGGGTACCCGCTGCCAGCAACCGTCGTCGGAGTCGAGGGGAACAAGGTGGCAGGGCACCGCCTCAAAGACCGCTGCTCCCGTCATGCCCCCGAGGGCCCACTTTGCTCCGACCGATCCGATCCGATATCGCTTTCGGCCGGCCCGATCCGTTCCGAGTCGGTGCGCCCCGATGCTTGCACGGCAGCGCTGCGCATCCTGGCGCGGCCGCGCCGATTCGGTGCCCACTCCGTGCCGACGAAGGCCGATCCAGCGCACGTTCCGATCCAATCCGGCCTCCCTGGTTCGATGTTGGCTGATCCTGCCCCGTTTTCCCCCGCCCCAAACAAGGAACCCAGACCCCCTCGACGTCGTTGTATATCCTAGATAGTCAAAACATCGAGGATAAAAGAACCCCAATCCCGAATTGCACGATGGAGGCACGGCCTCACTCAGGTCCCCGCCTTTGCATTAGGAATGAACCTGCAGACAAGGCCCCCCATATACCTGATGTCCTTGCCTCTCCCAACGTACGTCCCCTCCCAAAGCAAGGGCGCCCTCGAGGGCGCGAAGTTATCCGCGCGTCGCCCTTCACGGTTCGGCTCCGATTCCTCCTCATCCTCCTCTTCTCCCCTGGGAGGCGGCGCGAGAGCGTGAAGTTACTCGCACTTCGCGCTGCGCGCAGTGCGAAGCGCGACGTTGGGAGCCCTCCCAGAGGGTTCGAGTTTTCCCTTTGGTCAATCATCCAGCCAGTCCCTCTGCAGGAGGTATAGTCAAAAATAGTCAAAAAATAGTCGGGGGACTATTTTCGACTATTCTTGAGCATTTTGGGGTGTATTTTTGGGGGTATCTTCAACTTTTCGCCCAAAGTCCCCCTGTAGGGGGACGTGCCCGACTTAACCATCTACCTGATGTTCTTGCCCCTCCCAACGTAGGTCCCCTCCTGTAGAGGGACGGCCATCTCGGAGCCATCTCGGAGCCCGAGGCCGACTCCGAGGACGAGCTCTTTGGGAGGGTGCCCTGTCGGGGCCCCCGGCAGCGGGGACTGAACCCGCCTCGGGGCCTGGCACGTGTCCCTCTGACGGGCACCCTCTGGACTCTGGCCTCTCTCTCTTCCCCTCCTGGGCGTCGCATCCGGGATGGCAGGAGGGCTCGAGCTGTTCCTCTGGTCCATCGGCCAGCCCCCGGGGGGGGCTCTCGACCACCCCGCCCCCAGGGCCCGCTCCTCGACCGGGCCGCACCGGGTTCGGGGGGGAAAAACGTACACAGGCACACCACGAATCGTCGCTTCCCAGGGAAGATATGGGGAAATAGGGGAAGTGGGGGGGAAGACAAAAGCCAAGAAGATATGGGAGAATATGGGAGATCATTTTACTTGTGTGTATTCACTTGTGTGTCCTGGGGCCCCTTCACGGGCTCGCGCCGCGTCGACGCCAGGGTGGCCGGGGCGCGGGCGCCCCCTGGGTCGGACGCCGCCCGTGGCCTGGAAGCGGCCAGCACCGGGCGGACTCGGGCGATCGCTCCTCCTCCTCCTCCTCCTCCTCCCCATCCCCCTCCTCCTAGCCCCTTTGCGCTCGAGTAGCGTTGCAGGAACTGTTCTTCAAAGGGGCTCGCGCTCCTGCGAGCCAATCTTTTGCGAGGCAACAAGATTCCCGCCGTCCCAGAGCTAGCATGGCCCCGACAGCCTCTCGCTCTGCGCGCTGGAATGATGGCTGGCCGTGGCAAGTTACCGATCGCACGGTCCACCAGCACCGCGGGAATACTCTTTCGACTTGGAAGTGCTCGCAGTGCGGATGCAAGAAGAACAAGCAGCAGTGGCAACAGTGTAAGCATTGCTGGGCCTGGCGCAGCTCGCCGTCCTTCGACATGCACCCTTCGCCGCAAGGGGCCTGGCAGGAACAGCCGCAGCTGGCAGGGCCCCAAGGTGCTCTTCCTCCTCCTGGTTCTTGGTCTGCTACGCTCCCTGTGCAGCCAGGCCCATTGTTCCAGCAGTCAGGAAGTTCACTGCCACGTCCTGGAGGAGCCGTCGCGGAGTCTGCCAAGCTATGTGAGGTCATAGCCTACATGCACTCAGTGGGCGACTCCGACGGCGCCGCCAAGTACCAGAAGATCTTGGACTCCAAGCACGTTGTGCGGAAGGTCGAACCCCCCTCCAGCAGCAGATGGGCAAGGCCTTTCACGACATGCGTGCCATGGAGGGCAAGCTCAACAAAGCGGTCACATACTTCGAGAGGCTACAGAAAGACTTGGACGCCCAGCGCGAGGTGGTTCAGTCTCTCACGGACGATCTCTCAAAGGCTGAGCAACATCACAAAGGTTTCGTCCAGCAGCTGGCCGAGCACGTGGGTGGTGACGCTGCAGGTGAACAGCCGACGACTACACCTTCGATTCCGATTGAGGACATCCTCCAGGGCAAAGAGCTGCCCATCAACTTGGACTCGCTGCTGGCTCCCGAGGCTGAGTACGACCTCTCTCCTGATGACAAGAAAGAGGCAGAGACTCGGCTCAAGACGTTGCAGCAGTCGATCGCACAGCAAGCGCAGCAGCTGTTCGGAGCAGCGGCTGAGCAGGCCGCCAAGTTTCGAGAGGAGCAGAAGAAGCAATTGGAGCGCCTGGCAGGCAAACGTCGGCGCGTCACTGAAGGAGGAGACGGAGCAGCAGCGGCAGAAGAGGCAGCAGCAGAAGACGGCAAGAGTGCAGCCGAGCCAGAGGTGGCGCCTGGCGCCCCCCCTGGCGGTAGTGAGCCTGCTGGGCAGCCAGCCGCTGCTCCTGGAGTCGCGGCCGCGGACCCTGCTGATGCCGAGGACGTTCGTGCCCGAGCTCGCCGCGCGCTTCAACAAGCTCCCCCCCTTCAGGCGCGTCGGCGTGAAGGGGGGATTCTACTTCAGCAACAACATGCTCTTCAGCTTCGTTCTGGACATGCTGACCTGACCGCCTCGCCAGGCCCAGCTACCAGCAGGTTTTTTTCAGTCGGACCAGGGCCTCGTTGGCCCCACCTGCTTCTGGGGCCCTCCTTGCGAGCCTCATCACTTGGAAGGCCCAGCGGCGGAGTCCCTCGTCTCTCCTCCCCACGCTGCGCCCGAAGCGGTGTGGAAAAACGGCCGTGAGCAGGGCAGGGCCGCCGCGAACCCTGCTCGTCTTTTTACTGACAAGTCTAACTCGTATTCTGTGGCCTGTCGGCCGTTCTTCCGTCGCCCCTCTCCTGACGTGAATGGTGTGTCGCGGCCAACAAGTCGGTTCCGAGGCTTGTTAGCGGCTGTGCGTCACACGCTCTGGAGGGCTGCGCGAATTTTGAATGGAGGACGGACGACCTACACTTCCCTGCCAGCTGACTCCCCATGTAAGCTGGCCAGTTTTGGACACAGATCCTCTTTTTACCCCGTCCTGGGCTTTCCAGGCGCGGGCAGCCCTGTGGAGATGGTGCCTGGCCCCAGGATCTCTCCCCCTCCTGCGCCGTGCCTCACTCCTCCTTCTCCTGGCCTGGTCCAGGGGTCTGATGGGCTGAGCTCGGTGCAACTGGTGGTTCTCAGTATGAATGTAAACTCGCGGGGTACGCTCAAGAAGCTTCTACCTGACACGCCTGCCAACATTGCGTTGGTGCAAGAGCATCGTCTGCTCCGCGCTGAGAGGCTTTACGAGGCGTCTCAGTGGTGCGTTCGAAATGGTTGGAAGTCTCTCTGGTGCCCTGCTTGCGAGACCGACTCCGACACCTCAGGAGGTGTCGCCGTGCTTGTTCGTGATTGGCTCGGCCTCATAGCTCCTGCGGAAGGTTTTGTTGTTGCCAAAGGTCACGCGATGGTGGCCGATGTCCAGGCCCCGGGGGGCTTCACCTTCAGGATCGGAAGCGTTTATCTTCATAACAGTGAGGGTCTGTCGGAGCGAAACTTGGATGTGTTGGCCTCCTTAGGGGCGCGATGCTCGGGGTCCTCTGGTTCGCTTGCTTTGGGAAGGGATTTCAACCTTCCCCCATCGAACCTTGCCTCCTCCAAGTTTGTCTCTGAGTTGCAGGGCCAGCTTACCGACCCAGACGGCTGCGCCCTCTTCGGGGACGGAGCCCCATCCAAGATTGACTAGTTTATGTGTAGCGGCGGCCTAGGCAAGGCAGCTGCTTCTTGTGACGTCGTGATGAGTACGGAACTGAGCCCGCACCGCCCAGTCGATCTCAAGTTCCACCCCGCGCCGGCTTCGCTGAAAGCTTTAAGTTTCCGAAAGCCTCCTCCGTTCACCTCGGATCCTGTGCTTGGTCCCAAGCCCCAGCAGCAGGATTGGAATCAGGTCCTGGACATGGCCCAGGAGGGTCTTCGAGAGGTTGAACGTGGGAACGGTGCTCGGGCGGTGAGCCTCCTCACCATAGGCTACGGTGCCTGGGCTGGTGCTGCTGAGGTTGAGCTGATTCCCCTCTTAGGCGCCGACTTGATCAGGAAGGGGGCGAGGAGTGCGGGGCCTCAGCTCATGTGGAGATCGGTGGTGGGACGGGACAGCAAGCCAAGGTATCCTGCCCACAGGGCCATCAAGTGGCTGGGGGCTCAGTTTCGTAGCCTGGTCTCACTGCACAGGGACAACCGAGGTCTGTCTGCGCAGGCGCAGGCCATCCATGCCTCTCTTCTTTGCTGGCCTGCCTTTGTCTCAGGCCACATGGTGGAGCACCAGAGCTCGTTCGAGTGTATCAGGCGCTTCGTTCAACAGCATCCCCCTTCCCAATGGACGATGGAGTTGATTGCTCTTGGCGAGGCGCAGCTTGAGGGTCTCAAGACGACCCTGGCCGAGGCGGATTCTCGTTATCGAGCTAGGTCCAATGCGGATTGGCGCTCCTGGCTAACGGCTGGCCTGGACAAGGGAGCCAAAAGGGTCCATCTCATCACCAAAGACCCGTCGCCCTGGAGGCCGACGACGACGTTGGCGGCGGATGGCTCGGTGGTGGCTGACCCGATGTCGTTGCTCTCTAAAGAGGGGGACAAGTTCAGTAGGTTCTGGGGCCAGGCCTCTGGCGAGGCCAAGAGTGTGACGCTTGTGCAAGCTTTTCCTCGGGCCACTCCTGACCAGTTGCGAGCCGTGTCCAAGCGATACAA